AAAAAAAAAAAAAAAATCTAACTGGTTAAACGTTAAGGTCAATAAAATGATTGTTACAATTCCGGGGAAAGATTATTTAAACAAGAATCTTTAATTATTATGATTTGACTAACGAGAGTTAATTTAAGGTCCTTGTTTTTTCCCCAGTGCCATGTGTGCATTACAGGTTTCCCCACTGAAGGAAAAAGTTTGTATTGTGTTAGTTCCAGTTCTAATTTCCAGCTGAGTCAAAGTTCTAACAGACTTAAAGCAGGAAATCCAAAAGGAAATTCCATCATCAGTTCCTGGGGTTTGGTAACTCAAAGGTTCTTTGAAACAGAGAAATAGAAGTCCTTGAACTATTTACTATAGTCTTACCTCATATCTTCAAGCAAATCACATTCTGCTTGATGTTTGGCTTGAAGTTTTGTCATCTGCTCAACTTGAATGTTTTTCAGTTCTTGTGTAACTTTCACCTGAAATGTACCATATATTAAGGTCTTTTTACAAATTTAACCAAAAAAATTGCTTAAGGAAAATACATCTGTCAGAATATATATCTCTTGCTCGCCTCTCACCTGAAGACCATAAATCCATTATTCGCCATCTAGTTTTATTTATTGAAGGTACTTATTTAATGAAATATTAGAGCCAAATAGCCTGAACAGAAGTTGAATGAAAATACATGACTATAAATATTACAAACTAAAGACGTGCAAAATAAACTGCCAGTCATTCCATTTCATGCACAAGCTCAATCCATGTCTAGGTCTTCCTAGAGTTTTAAAAGAGCCTGTCTTCTATTTCAAAAAAAGGATTCAAAGACATTAACCACCAGGTGAGGTGAGTAGAGTGTGGATGGGGGTTGGGAGCCTAAGAATGCCTAATACTTAATGACCAATATTTACACGATCATGATAATATGCATGAATCGACTATAAAAATTACTCCATAATGGCTGCGAAAAAGCACACTGTCTCAGAATGATGCCCTCGACTTGCTGACAGCGCACCAAATCACAATCTCTTTCTCACAAAGGAGAAAGCAAAAGTGACCTTCCAGCATTTGCAGTGCTTTTAAACTACCCCGGCATGCCGGTCCCCGTGGAGGCTCCACTTCAAACAGCGAGAACAGCAAATGCCTGCTGGCCAGAGAGCCTCGCCTACCCGCCCTCCAGGCCGGGACCCCAGGGTTTGAAGTTATGGTCGGTCTGGAATCTCGGCCTTCGGAGCAGGACCACCAGGATGGGTGGGTACATGTTCGAAAGGGTACATGTTCGAAAGAAAGACTCACTTAAATGGAGAAACCCGGATTAGGAAAGAGAGAAAGCAGCGACAGCAGACACGGGTGAGTTAGGCGTTAGGCAAATGTTTGCCCACGAGGGGAGGACAGAACCGCCTCATCCACCCAGTGCCCAGAGTAGATATTCAGTATCCATCTGCAGGATTAAAAAGACAAGGACACAGCCTTGGCCCGCTGGGAAACCTGAGGTAGGGCACAATGGGGAGGCTGCTGACAAGCCGGGTGCACCCGTCACTCCCACCCTGGCCACCCAAGCTCGGATCGCAGTGCACACGCCACGCACCTCCCGGGCCAGGTCCTCGCTTTTCATTAGACAGCACGACAGCCTCCTCGCCCCTCAGCCGAGGGCGAGGCAGGACCGGTCAATCCTTAATTTGTTTTCCCTTGGGTTGGAGAGGCGGTGACTATTGCAACTTCTTTTCGGCCGCCCCGTGGGAAAAGCAGGCCAAACCCTAAGGCTAGGCTAGAAACAAAACCCCTGCAAATGTGCAAACGGGCGGGGCTGGCGACAAGCGACTGGGGGGCTCAAAGCTGGTGCAGACTAAACAATCACACACGCACAAGGCTCCGCAAAGCTGCAGGGGCGTCCCCGCCTCCCCCACGGTGCAGCCCCAAGAATGCACTTTGCAGCGGACAGCATTGCCAAGCGCGCGCACACAAACGCACACCCGAAACTCTGTGAAATGTCTGGGGGTCTTCAGCGTAGAGAAGGAACGAGCCCCGACCGCCCCTCTGTCACACGCCGGCCCCCCGCCTGGAGCCGGAGGGAAGTCGGTGACAAGCCCAAGGCGAGGGCGGTCACGGCCCCTTGCGGAAGGGGGAGGGGGCGCAGCGGTCGCCCCAGCCGCGTTCCCCATACGCAACCCTACCTCGAACCCCAGAGCCCCCAAACTGCGCCCTTACCTTCCTCGGCGGCGGCTGCATGATGCTGAAGGGACATCAATCCTCCCCGACGGCAGCGTTAGCAAGAACCAGGAGGAGGACCAGAGAGGAAGGGATGGCCCAGCGAGCGCGCGTGTGTGAAAAGAGAGCCTAAGAAACAGGACTTGCTCCGGAGGTAGCAGGCCGGCGGGCGGCAGGAGGACCCCGGCCAAAGAGCGAATGTGAGAAGAAGGGGGAGGAGCGCCGGGAAGGCCTGGGGCCCGGGCTGCCCGGGGGTGTGTGAGGAAGGAGGCGGAGATGGCGAGGGGGCGGGGGCCCGGGAGCAGGGGCACGAGGGTCTCGGCCGGCCGGGTGGCGGGTGAGCCGCAGCCGCGTTGTCCGCGCTCCCCGTCCGCCACCGGCGCCGCTGCTCCCGGCGGACGCAGAGGCCCCCACCCCACCCACTCAGGCAGCCCGGCCCTCACTGGGCCTAACGCCCCCGCCCGCCCGGGAGGAGGAAGGTGGCGCCGCGCTCCCCGCTAGAGCTCCACCACTCTGGCCGCGGGAATTTCCGGCCTCGCCGCGCGGCGCAGCGCCCCGCTCCGGTGGCGGAGGGAACCGCTTCGTCCAGAGCGGGGTTCGAGGGGCCGGCCCAGGCTGCCGGGAGGGAGAGAGGACACGGCACGAGACTTCGTACCGCAGGGGGGACGGGGGGAACTAACGGATTGGTCGGTGGCTGGGAGGTGTAAAAACACCAGCGCCACACGAAAATCCCCCCTTTCTGCCTGAGAGTGGCACGTTCCAGACGCCTCCTGGCCTCCCTCCCCCACGCTGGGAGCCAGCTGGGGGCTTCCCGCGCGCTTTCCCGCCAGCTCGCCGCGGCGCGCGCCTCAGTTCGGGGGCGCGCACGTGGGCGGGAGAGGGCTCCGCGCCGACGCACGCGCACAGGCCACCCCCGCCTTCTGCCTGCCTTTGCGGCTGCAGGTTGTGTCTATGTGTGGAAGGGGCGGGGGGCGACGCTCGCGGGGAAATGTTTGCAGTGGGGAGGGGGTTAGTATGCCTGTGGGATACGAGAATTCCGGCATTGGCTTCCTCTCCGTCCCTCAACACCCCTCTCTCCCTAACCAGCTAGATGTGCGCGAGGGGGACGAGCGAGGACAGGTCGCTTTGCGGCTGGCCGCAGGTGCTAGGCCGTTGCGATGGTAGGGCGGAAAGGCAGTTGCCCTGCAAAGGAAGCAGGGGCTCTCTACTGCAGGGCATTCAAGTCAAAGATCACTGACTTCGCTGAGAGGGAGTCGAGAGAATGTTAAGGCCAAGGCCCCCATTTCGCAGATGGGGAGGCAAGAGCCCTTAGAGGGAAGCCTTTCTGAAGGTCACACAGCAGGACTAGACTTTCTACGTCAGGAAGGTTCTATGGGTTATTTTAAAACAGAAACAGGTGCAGAATAATAAGCACGAGGAAAAGTAAAGGAGGCAGGAGGGGCCATAGAGGAAGCCCTTGTCTGGGAGTCAGGATCTCTGGGTGCCATTCATTTTGCTTACCTCTTAACAGGCTAGGTGAGCTCGGGCTTCCTTATCTGCCAGTGAGGATGCTTATCTAAGTAGGGTCCCCCACCACCACACACACCTTCCTGCTGTGTCCAGACCACCTTACAAGGAGGGTTATCGGCCTCCCTTGGAGTCCTCAGAAGAGGATTACCTCTTCCCCATGCCCAGGGAGTTTTTTGAGTCCTGAGGCTGTGTGGAGGCCAAGCTGGATTGCTCGATTGTTTTTTCAGAAGTTGAGCCCCAGACAGCTGTTCTCAGAAGTGCAGTCCAGCCAGAGGAAGGTGAATGAGGCCTAGAGAGACCCAAGTAACTTGCCCGATGACCACAAAGCCAGAAATTGAAAAGGTGGAACTTGAACCCAAGTTGTTTACAATGAGTTAGGCTAGATTCTTTTACAGAAAAATGATAGAGTCAGAGCTGTGTATGAACTAGGAGACTAGTCTTGCTATTTCTGCCTTCCAAAGTTAGTCCTTCTACCTGAATTGAACCTTAGAATTTGAAAAAAGTATTTAAAAAAAAAAAAAAAAAAGCCCTTCACCACAACCCTTAATTAAATTGGGGAAGGCCTGGGGCAAGGGAACAGGTGGATGGAGACGCAAGGCCCTGAGAGCTGTGGGGCAGCAGCTAGAGCCCAGGCCACAGGTAGCCTAGCCTGGAGGCTCTAGTCTCAGCCCCACCACCAATTTTTTGTGAAGCCTTGTTTCCTCACTTGTAAAATGGAGGTATAATGCTGGCCTCATAGTCTTGCTGTATTAAATAGAATTTCTCCTACCTCAGGGGCTGGCATGTAGTCCTTAATAAGTGCTTATTGATTCATCATTCATTCAAAAAATTCTTGCTAAGAAACTGCTTTGTAGGCCGGGCGCGGTGGCTCACGCCTATAATCCCAGCACTTTGGGAGGCCGAGGCGGGTGGATCACGAGGTCAAGAGATCGAGACCATCCTGGTCAACATGGTGAAACCCCGTCTCTACTAAAAATACAAAACATTAGCTGGGCATGGTGGCACGTGCCTGTAATCCCAGCTACTCAGGAGGCTGAGGCAGGAGAATTGCCTGAATCCAGGAGGTGGAGGTTGCGGTGAGCCGAGATTGTGCCATTGCACTCCAGCCTGGGTAACAAGAGCAAAACTCCGTCTCAAAAAAAAATAAAAATAAAAAAAAAGAAACTGCTTTGTTACCATCCTGTGCAAGCACTGGGGTTCTAGAGCTAAGCAAGATAGAATCAGCTTTCACCAAGACTGAGTTCCAGACCAACCATTCTATGAGCAACACAGGGCTAATGGAAGAGAGGTAACACAAAGATTTACTGAATCCTAGTCCTGGGTGCAACTGGTCTGGCCCAGAGATTATCCTCCCTTCACCTCCCTTCTTAGGAAGTGAGCACTGGAGTAGAAAGGTGCTAGATGTTGGAAGACATGGGATCCAGCCTCTACCATGGATCTGGTGGGCCTTCTCTGGGCCTTGGTGCCCGCCTGCAGAATAAGATAAGTGAGTAAGCCTAGAACTTAGTAGGCTCTTCACAGAAGTCAGACCCTGGGGCTTTAGTTTATGCATTTAGGAGGGCATCCTCTACCAGATTTGCCATAATTCTGAAGCCAGGAGTGGCACTGACTTTCTGGAATGATTTCCTTTGGAAGTGTTATAAAGAGCTAAAGGCAATACCAGATGGGCTTACCTACTAACTCCTATTTCAAAAATGTGATTTTTTAAAAACATTATTTGAATACTTACCAAGTGCCTTTTCCAAACCCTAAACTTTCATATTACTTTTCCAATATAATCTTTACCCATGAGATAGTATTATTTTGTTCATTTTTCTGATGAAGTACTGGAGGCTCAGTGGAGATAAGTTACTTGCCCTGACATGATAGACTTGAGACCATAACCCAGTTGTCCGATGAGGAATTTTCCTGTATGAAGAATGTTCAAAGGAATCGGGAGAGTTCCTAACCCAGGAAAATAAGCAGACTCAGGAAGATACAATCTATTATGTTTCAGAATCCAGAGGACAGGGGAAAGGATTTCTGTGACGTATGTAAGCCTGACTTAAAATGCACCATTTTGAACAGGGCTGGGGACTTCCAGAGCCTTGCTCCTGCAATGCAGCCAAGCACTGTATTGCCAGTAAGATCGCTTGAGATTCTTTGTGGAAATGGCGCAGAGCGGCATGCACTGTGGCCCCAGAGACAAAACTGGGACAGGACTTAGCTGCATCTCAGGAAGGAGCCTTTCCAGGCAGAGCTGCCCCTGGAGGGATTGAGCTCCCTGTCCCTGGGGCTGTGCAAGCAGGTTCTGGCTCCCTTCCGTCAAAGAGGCCACAGATGGAATCTCACTCTGAAAAGAAATTAATTAACAGCTGTCCTTTATTTTGCCGCTTCCATGTTCCAGACATTAAAATAGGCATGTTATTTACATTGTTTCCAACCTTCACAACTCCTCGTAATACATATAACCCCATTTCACAGGCTGCAGCTCAGAAGTGAAATGACCTACCCAAGGTCACACAGCTAGTAAAGGAAAGCGAGGCCTGGCCCCTGGTTCTGAAGCTGTGCTCTCCCTCCAGCATGCTGCAGTGCTGTCTCCCACTTCATTAGGAATATGGTTCTAAGGTTACGTCAGAGCTAGGATCAAAAACTGGCCTGGAGCAGGTATATGAACGGGTATCAGAAGATCAGCTATTCTGATATTCCAGGGCTCCTGGGAAAATCTGCAGGGAGACAAAGTATACAGCAGCCTGTTACCATGGCCAGAATATGAGTAACACACTACTCCCAGTCCAGAGCACACACCCAGGACAGTTTGACTCCATCAAAGGTTCTCTCCAGAGAAAGTGGCTGCCAGTCCCCCTGCCCACACTCCACCAAGGCATCCCTGACCCTTCCTATAGCTGGGGTCCACAGCCCTCTCTACTCTGTCTTCCTCTGTGTCATTATCCCCCACCTGCATTGGCACCAGCTGCTCAGGAATGCTTGTCAGCATGTCTGGATGCCAGCTATTCCCTGCCTGAGCCCCACCGAGTCCAGCTGGGGATGCATCAGCAGACAGTGCAGTCTATGGACCCCACCCCCATTCATCTCCTTCCTACCCCTAGTCACCTTTCCCTACCCACACCTTTGCTCCTCCCTGAGCTAATTCCCTCAACACCAGCCTCCTGCCAGCCTGGTGTGAGAATGTGCCTGTCTCTTCCACTGTCAGCTCTCAGGACGGAATCCCAGCATGGGTGAATGAGGCTTCAAAACTGAAGCCGCAGAAGAGAGCAGGTATTCTCCTTAAGACACACAGTGAGTTTGTTCAAGTCACGAGGCCTTGAATTCTATAGTGTCACTCAATAAGCCCCTTATTCTGGGCTTAGTCATGAGCAGGACTGTGGGGTGAGGAGCTGCCCACCAGGAGCTCCGAATCTCAATACATAGACCAAGGCCACAGCAGTGAGATATGCAGGGCCAGGAAGGTCATAGGGACCCAGATCTTACCAGGTGGTAGCAGAGATCTAAGGCCAGAGGCAAGTCCCTAAGAAGCAGACACTAGGACCAGGAATTATCCTGTCAAGTGTTGCCCTTCCCAAGGACTATTACAACTTTGTGTGGAAGGGGTGGGGGTGTACAGTGAATGAGCAGTCAGTCCCAGGGCTATCATAGGAGCTGATAGGCACATGGTTTTGACATTAGGAGGCAGGAAACCATGGTGCTAATTCTATCTTTGCCAAGTTCTCACTGAGTGTGACCTCTAGCGTATCACTGTCCTCTCAACCTTGGTTTCTATATCTATAAAATGGGAATAACAAATTCGGTCCTGTCTTCCTCTTGGAGGGCTGTGCAGGTTAAATGAAATAACAGGTATATAATCTGCAAGGGGCTGAGGAGCCACATAAACAATAACTGCTGATCCTGGGACGCATCAGAGAAGGCTGAGTGGCTGCCTGTATTTGAACACTGATCATTACCTTCCACCATGAGCTGCACTGTGATTAGGCACTAATAAGTAAAATAGTTTTGGTGGAGGGATGAGGTTACAGTGGTCTGAGGTCAAGCAAACCTGGGTTAAATGTATGATTTCTCCTTTCCCAAGCTTTGAGTTTTTGATCAAGTCTTGAAATCTCTTTTCAGCCAGGTTTCCTTGTCTATAAAGGTGGGATAATGATTATTTGCAGGGTTGCAGTGAGAATTAAATGGGAATGTTTATATAAAGTGCTTGCAACTGTGCTAACCCACAAATGTGTTCCTTTTGTTGAGTTTTCCTTCATTTTCCCATCATTTTGTTACTGTTTTATTTGTAAGTTAAAGAATAAAACACAAAAAGAGGAATTTCCATGGGGGAGATTGAGCACAACTAGAATCCTAGTTGCTCCTTACTGATTGTGAGGACTGGGAAGTCCCTGCCTTTCCCTCAGCCCGGGTTTTCTCATCTGTAACACCAGGGGTTCCACGAGGGAGTTTCTTCAGGGACTAGCCTGGGAGGCACAGGATGCTACCAAGTCTGCAGGCCCCTTTCAGGGAGAGGATCCTTCAGGCCTAGCTGGGTAAGGAGGGCCAGGCAGGGATCAGGAGAGGGAGATAAGAGTTGTGGAAGAGGGACAGCAGGATGCAGAGGTGGCAGTTCTGTCACCACCATGGGCTGGCCTGTGAAGGGAGCAGGCCCTGTTCAGGATGCCTGCCTGCCTGTTTTCCCACAGCCTGCTGAGTTAATGCCAAAACAAGATACACTTGCTTGCTCCCTGACTGATGGCAGCAAGCCAAAATGAGCGTCCTGGAGGGCTGGCAGACACCCTGGCATCCTGCCTGTCCTCTGTGGGCATCTGCCCTTCCCCTGTCTGCAGCACCACCCTCAGCCAAAGCTGGCCCAGGGTGTGGAGAGGAGCCTCCCCAGGGTCTGCGTTCCTCCTCCGATTTGCAGCCTTCCTAAGTGGATGCCTCCAACCCCTACACCTGCCTGTCTTCCAGTCCAGCCTTGGCCCAAGACGTGATCTAATTCTCATGCTGCTGTGGGCAGAGCACATGGCATCAGAATGCTGGGAGCTGCTGTCTGTCGCCATGGGAGGGAATTCCCCAGCTCAGGAAAACTCTTCCAACGGAAGGGAGCAGGTGGCAAGCCTCCCTGAAGAGACAGACGCTGCCAACGCTGCAGGCAGAGCCAATCGTGTGGTAAGAAGCATCAGATCTACCACCCCCAGCCTTCTGTCTGATGTTTGTCTACACTGTGTACATTAGTAATAATAGCTCATGCTTTATAATAGTTACTATATGGCAGACACCCTTTCAAGCACTTCACATAAAAAATGAATGTAATTCTCACAACTCTGAGGTAGGTGCTATTACTAGCCTCATTTTACAGATGAGGCATTCACAGGTTAAGTATACTTATGGTCATGCTGCCAGTGGCAAATTGAGATGTATACCCAATTACCCAGGTTACAGGGTCTGTGCTGTTAACTGCTAAACTACTAATCTGCCACCAAAAGTTAGTATCCCCCATAAAACCTAGGTCCAAACTTGGAGCATGACAAGATGCTTGCCATAATACCTTAGAATCCAATCATCTTCCCAACTTGGCTAAGCTGAGAATCAGCAGGGGTGCTTGTTTAAAATACACAGTCCTCTGTCCCTAGCCTCCAGTCACCAATCTGAGGATTCACTAAATTTGAAGTGGGAGGAGAGGCAGTGCCTGACATGTGGAAATCACACCATAAATGCCTGTTAAATGAATGAACGCCCCTGACTTCTCTCAGCCTCTGCTCATCTCTAAAACAGAGTTATAGCTCCCTACCCTCCCCCATTTCCAAGTGTAGCTGTGGGTTAAGCCAGTGTGTGTGTCTGCTCTGGCTTTGCTGGGTATGGGAAATTGTTTATAAGCATACCCGGCTGGCTCCTAATAATAGCTGTAATAATAATAGCTGACATTTATTGAATGCTTAGGAGATACCAGGCATAGCTCTGAGGGCTTTGTGTTAACCCATTAATTCTCTGTTTTTTTTTTTAAGAGACAGGGTCTCGCTATGTTGCCCAGGCTGGAGTACAGTGGCTATTCACAGGCTCAATCCCACTACTGATCAGCATTGGAGTTTTGACCTGCTCTGTTTCCTACCTGGGCCGGTTCACCCCTCCTTAGGCAACCTGGTGGTCCCCCACTCCCTGGAGGTCACCATATTGATGGCGAACTTAGTGCGGACACTCGATCGGAATAGCGCACTACAGTCCAAAACTTCTGGGCTCAAGCAATCCTCCAGCCTCAGCCTCCCTAGTAGATGGGACTACAGGCATGCACCACTGTGCCCAGCAACGCATTAATTCTCATAACACTCAATGATCTTGATTTTAAGAATGGAGTTAAGTCACTTGCCTGAGATCACACAATTAGTAAGAAGTAGGATTTGAACACAGATGGTCCTGTTCCAGTGTCCAGAGGCTAACCACTCCATCACAGTTACTGGAGTCACCCAGCCCTTCCTGCCTTCCTGCCTTCCCCCCCACCCCCCCCCCCCCCCTCCCTCCCTTCTTCCTTCCTTCCTTCCTTCCTTCCTTCTTTCCTTGCTTCTGTCTTCTTTTCTTGTTTGTTTGTTTGTTTGAGATGGGGTCTTGCTCCCTCACCCAGGCTGGAGTGCAATAGTGTGATCACAGTTTGCTTGCAGCCTTGACCCCCTGGGCTCAATCAGTCCTTCCAACTCAGCCTGCTGAGTAGCTGGGACTTCAGGTACATGCCACCATGCCCAGCTAATTTTTTGTGTGTTTTTGTAGAGACAAGGTTTTGCCATGTTGCCCAGGCTGGTCTTGAACTCCTAGGCTCAAGCAATTCACCCAGCTTGACCTCCCAAAGTGCTGGGATTACAGATGTGAGCCACTGCACCTGGCCCTGCTCACAATTTAAAAAGTAGTAGCCCTTTATGGTTTTATCACACTGCAGTGGGCATAAATATTGGCTATCTCATCCATCCTATCAATGTCCCCACCCCCTAGACCTCTGGGAGGAGATCTTGTTTATGGCACCCAGCAGGCACACTGGATGGGTGGATTTGAAGGCTTGAAGACTCAGAGGTTTAATGGCAGTGGAACATTAAGAGTGGGCAGCCAGGTCATGGAACACAGGCCCAGTCAGCAGCCTAAGGGAGGATATGACTGAGGGCCTGCACAGGCCTGTCCTCTGCTTATGTTCAGCCTGTATCTTCACCTGCTGTGCTGAGCCTGACCTGGAGGAGGCTTTTGAGTAAGTGGTCCATAAGGAGAGGATGAGGTATGTCTGAAAGGCAAGACACCCTGGGCTTGGTCACACTAACTCCAGTACCTTTCCTGTCTGCACACTGGGCACTCAGCTCTCAAATATAAATGTGCACTTAGAAGCTGCACATCACAAACAAACAAACAGGCACATCAGCTTCCAAGCAAGCCGCTAATAGGCTATTTTGACTATATACCCACTGCTCAAAACTCTTTTATGGCTGCCCACTGCCCTCCAAATTTAGCCCAAGCTTTTAAACCTGACATTCAAGGCCCTTCACTGTGTGACTCCAGCCAGCCTACACAACCTCATCTCTCAGTCCTACCATTTTAGGTACCCTTTGTTCCAAACACACAGCATATATGTACATACACACAAACACAGACACAACTTTTCCAGCAACTCATCAGGCTCTTTTAGCAACTTTACACGTCTGAATATGCTGTTCCCTCTGCTTTTAACACCCTTCTCCATTTTCTCTACAGTGTCAGCTTAGAGTTTTAGTTAAGAGCTTGAGTCAAGTTCCAATTCAGACTGACCCATTGGAATTTTGGCCTTGCTGCTTTCTAGCTGCATGGACTTCACTGCGTAATCTGGATGCTGTGTACCTCTCCAACATCAGCTTACAGCATCTCCCCTCTACCATGTTCTATTATGTTCTTCCCTGAGCCTGTTTGCCCTTGGTACAGATCTGACGTTCTCTGGGCCTGTGTCACTATTTGTGTTGGAATAGTTCAGTACCCTTGACGTCTACGTGGCTCTGTCACTCTCTAGTATGTCACCATCAAAACCAGAACATGCTTTCTAGATGGTAGCAGAATGACTCTGAAGGTGAAACTTCACCTTTTCTCTCTGGAGCAGCTGGAAAAACTTTCTCCAAACCAGCAGTGATCACAAAGAAGTGACTGCGTCAAGGCCAGAGGCATCTTCCAGATATTTCATCTGGGTGAGAATTCTTCAGCCACATCTGGAAACCGTTAGTCTCCATTTGCACCCACACCCATACCCTGCACTGTGCCCTAGGAGGTGGACCCCTGTGGGCTGCCTCACCAGGCCTTCTTGCCAACTGGCTTCCACTTGGGTTTGGACATGATTCCTGACCCATTTGAGTCCTGGGCCGTAAGATGTTTCCACTGTTGCCAGCTTCTGGGCAGGTGCCTCAGTGTCTTTTTTTCTCTTAACCTGCCCACATCTCACTGCAGTAGTCCTCTCATTAAAGTCTCTTCATCTGAACCGTTAGGAGTAAATTACTTCCTGCTGATCCCCAAATACCTGAGCCTGCATCTGGAAATGATTGATCTGAATGGGCAGATCTAGGTGGAGGGCCAGGTCTTTGGTGACCAACAGGAAGCAATTCACCCCTCATGGTTCATAACCCCTACCAAAAATTAAAAATTAGCCAAGTGTGGCAGTGCATGCCTATGGCCCCAGCTACTCAGAAGGCTAATGTGAGAGAATCATTTGAGCCCAGGAGCTTTAGGCTGCAATGAGCTGTGATGATGCCCCTGCACCCCAGCTTGGGCTATGAGGTGAGACTCTGACTCAAAAACAAACAAACAAACAAATGAAAAAATAGATACAATCATGTCAAGACTTGCCCCAGAACAAAGAACCCACCAGCACAACCCATAAACAGCCTCTCCCAATGTTCATGCTTTGGGCCAGACATACTCAATGCTAGCTAACTTCTCTAGGAGCATGAGGGTCTGATTCTGACTTATCAAGAGCTCTTGTGGGCAGAGTCAGATAAGACAGGCATCTGCAGTGCGGTAACAGTGAAGTAACAGTGACTAGTTCGGTGAACCAACAATACAGAATAAAACAGGCCTCAAGGCAAAGCATGATCAGACTACTGCTCAGGCAGCATGAGCAGTGCAGGTCAGTGTGGAAGAAGCCAACGAACTTGTGCTACTTGGGGCAGCCTTTCTGGAGGACCTGCAGGACCTGGGCAGGAACCATGGGATGCTAGAAAGGTAGGGATGGGAAATATGGAGGGGTGGGGAGTAGGGAAGGAATATCTCAGGAGAAAGAGTTAGGGCCTGGCAGAAGGAAATGGGATCTCTGAGGGAAGGAGCAAGAGTCAGGGGCTTGGTCAGGCATAGCCCCTCACCCTGCCCCGTCCTGGAACAGGTCTCCAGCCTGAGGACAGGCCCCCAATATCACCCACAAGCTATTCCTCTCCTTCAGGGCTGGGCTGCCAATCACTCCAGCTCTTTCACTTCCCTTGCTTACTGCACCTGCCCAGACCACAGCCCCAGCAGGGTTTAGGTTTCAATTCTCGTTTCCTCCATACCTATGTAGTCTCTTGAAAAGTTTCCATTTCTTAGGCCGGGCGCGGTGGCTCAAGCCTGTAATCCCAGCACTTTGGGAGGCCGAGGCGGGTGGATCACGAGGTCAAGAGATCGAGACCATCCTGGTCAACATGGTGAAACCCCGTCTCTACTAAAAATACAAAAAATTAGCTGGGCATGGTGGTGCGTGCCTGTAATCCCAGCTACTCAGGAGGCTGAGGCAGAAGAATTGCTTGAACCCAGGAGGCGGAGGTTGCGGTGAGCCGAGATCGCGCCATTGCACTCCAGCCTGGGTAACATGAGTGAAACTCCGTCTCAAAAAAAAAAAAAAAAAAAAGAAAAGTTTCCATTTCTTGACAGGGACTAGGCCTGACACACCTGACACCCTCAGTCCTCTGCTACTGCTTCTTTACAGTTGTTTCTGCCTGTCCCTAGCCCTATACTTCAGTCCTCTGCCCTCCTAGCAGCCTAAGCAAGCCTGCTAATAGGCTATTTTGACCATGCACCCACTGCTCAATACCCTTTCATGGCTACCCACTGCCCTCCAAATTTAGCCTGAGCTTATTTGTTTATTTATTTATTTATTTTTTAAAGTGGGGTTTCTCCATGATGGCCAGGCTGGTCTTGAACTCCTGACCTCAGGTGATCCACCCACCTTGGCCTCCCAAAGTGCTAAGATTACAGGCATGAGCCACCACACCCCAAGCTTTTTAATCTGACATTCAAGGCCCTTCACTGTGTGATTCCAACCAACCTACACAACCCCATCTCTCAGTCCTACAACTTTAGGTACTCTTTGTTCCTAACATACTGCGTATATATACACACAAACACACAACTTTTCTAGCAACTTATCAGCCTCTTTTTAGCAATATCACACATCTGAATATGCTGTTCCCTCTCCTTTTAACACCCTTCTCCCTTTTCTCTACTTGATAAACTCATATTCACCCTTTAAACCCCAGCTCAAAACCCCTGCTTCTGTGAAGTCTTCCTCCTTCTCCTAAGTCGGAGTAATCCTCCCTCCTCTGGGTCTCCATAACTTTGTTCAGATCTTGATGATAGCAGCAAGCAGCAAGCACAAGCAGACTGGTCTTCTAGACTTCTATTTATCCATGTCCTGTTCTGAATTCCCCATCCTTTCAAGTCTCTGGCCCCAGGTGGACCACTTAATAGCTATGGACAAGTTGCTTAACCTTCCCTGGATCTCTGGATTAATGCTGGATTAGTGCTGTATGTCTACAGCTTTTCAGCACCTATACACACATTGATAATCACAATTACCCAGTGATTCTGTAACTATGTCCCACCAGGATGAGTACCTTGCCAGCAGGGTAACAATCCAGGTTGCTTGTAACCAAATTGTCTCTGTTTCCCTAGTGCCCACCATTCCAGAAACCCTTATTGCACAGGCAAATTTAGCCCAAACTCCATTTTTGCAAATGGAGAAACTGGACCCAAAGAGACACAGAGATTTGCCTAAGGTCATGAACCAGTTTCAGGGTGTTCTCCTTTTCCCTTCCTCCAAATCTTTGGGCCAGCCTCTCTCCAAGGACTGCCCCTGGACTAGGCTTGGACTCTGGACCAGAGGACAGGCCTGCACCAGGCCCCACTTGTCATTATCCTATGGACTCTCAGGGTAGAAGCTACCAGATGCCCAGACAGTTTTACTTCCCTCCTGGCTGCAGAGACCACACTGAGAGCAACTGTCAGACCTCAGACACTTCTGTTTCACCCAGAGCCAGACTTCCTTTCCATATCTTCCTTAGGCAGCAAGCAGACCGTGGGCCAAGGCCTCTGCACCGGACCCTGGATAGTTTTGGTTCTCTCTGGGGGCTCAGCCCAAACAGCTGCAGTAGTGAATTACCCCTAAGGACAGGCTCCACACTTGGGGGTTTGTGGCAAGAAAGCCTGATTACCCAAAAACCCTGGAAGCTGAAGTCTTGACCTTGATGAAACCTCATCTGACCTGTATGGTTGGGGACAGAAAGGCCTCACATGAAGAAACTCCTGGAGAATCCTAAGCCCTCAGAGCCCTTGGTGTAACCTGTTCATTTTACAGATGGGGAGCCTAAGGCCCAGAAAGGGATTTGCCCAGAGCATATACACAGTGATGTACCTGACACTGAACTTAAAGTTCTCGATCTGTGGTGCTCTTAGTTGCTTTTGTCCATGTAATATTGTTTTTGTTGTTGTTTTGTTTGTTTTTCTGAGACGGAGTCTTGCTGTCACCCAGGCTGGAGTGTAGTGGTGTGACCTCAGCTTACTGAAACTTGCACCTCCTAGGTTCAAGCAATTCTCTTGCCTTAGCCTCCCAAGTAGATGGCACGACAGCATGCACCACCACACCTGGATCATTTTTGTATTTTTATTTTATTTATTATTTATTTATTTATTTATTTATTTTGAGACGGACTCTCGCTCTGTCATCCACACTGGAGTGCAATGGCGCGATCTCAGCTCACTGCAACCAAGCAATCTGCCCGCCTCAGCCTCCCATAGTCCTGGGATTACAGGCCTGAGCGTTTGCGCTCAGCCTGTTTTTTTTCAGCCTATCTCCTTTCTACCAGCCTGGCAGATGCCTCTTCTCTCTGCTGCCTTGGTGAATACCTGCCTGCCTGCAGCAGCAACTTCTCACCCCCAGCATTGGCTGCCAATTAACCTTTAAACCTTTTACAACCAGATCACCATGGGTTTCATGGTCAAAGTGTAAAGTGAGAATGTAAAGTATGAGTAAATGGGTTCACATCAAGGTTTTGGGGATCATCTTAGAGATCCAGGGGCCTTTTATGCTTAGAATCTGGATTTTGCAGCAATTCTTCAACAGAGAAAAAAATCCAGTCATAAAAACGGGGTTCGGGCCAGGCGCAGTGGCTCACACCTATAATCGCAGAACTTTGGGAATCTCTTACATGCTCATAGTCCTCCTTTAAAGAAGGCCTTATTATTCCATTTTAGACGTGATAAAACTGAGGCCCAGAAAGCGGCAAAACCTTACTCAAGGTCACATGATTAGTGAGGTGGGTAGGTATGCATTTACCCCTGGGTACCCAGCAGCAGAGGCAGAAGTGGCACTCCTGGAAGAGCTGGGCCTCATGGGCTAGGACCAGAGGTGGGATGTTCAGAGGCACGGAGGGAGGAGCAGAAGCTGAGAACCTGGAGCTGATGGAACCTACAGGTTGTACCATCTGTCTCAGACATAGGGAGCAGAGGAGGGACAGAAATATCTAGTAGGGCATCAGCTTGCAGCTTCAGGTCAGCAGAGCTGGCTCAGTCCTTAGATACCATCTTATCCAGCCCAGGGGAAACAGGTTTGTCCAGGGCAATTGATGAGGATGCATAGTATCACAATGGCTGACCCTGGACTAGATAGAATTCAAGGCTCTGTCCTCCAGCCCAGTGCTCCACACATTGCCCCAGCTGCTATGTTGTTCAGGCCAATCTACATTTACTGATGGCATTCTCTGGATTGGACTTGCAGGCACCATGGAGACACAGGGATCCTCCCCACCACTACTGTCAGGAGTTCTCAGCTGCATGGGGGAAGTCAGATTGGGCTCAAAGACCTAGACTCCAAGTAGCATGTGAGAAGTGAGACAGCAGCAGACATGAACACAGTGCTGGGGAATGGGGTGAGGAGGACCTTAGTGGCGCAAGTGCTGTGAGCAATCCTTAGACTTCAGATCCCCAACTGTCCCAAGAAGAAACTAAATCTCTAAGGTCTGTTAGTTCAGATGATCAAGCCTCTACCCTCCTTTGCCTTGTAAAAGTTGGGAGCGGGGGCTGGGTCCGGCTTCTGGTAGGCTAGGGGATGGGAGGCAGAGGAAGTGGCTTGAGCTGCTTGAGCCACCTCCGCCTACCACACTGGGGCTGTCCCATTACGGACAGGGAAATCACAGACTCAGCGCTCAGACATCTGGGAGGGGCTGGACGGCCAGGGTATTTTTAGAAGGCCAGAGGCAAACATGCCCGGAATTCTGGGTGTTGCTGAGCCAAAGAAGCTGACAGGCTAGCGGAGGATGAACCAGAAGAGGTGGCCTCCACCCTGGTCCTAATTTCACCGAGGTCAGCTGGCCTTGTGTTTCCCCAGAGGCTAGTGCTTAGGCCTACGGTGTGCAAGCTCTGATTTCCCCAACTTGTCACTCACTTCTGCTTCCTTCTGGGCAGTCAGACACAGAGCTGTTTTAGGGCCTCAGGGAGAGCACTTGATCTCTTGATTCATTCAGCCAGCTCTTTTGGTGCTTCCTGTGGTCCAGGTGAGCTGCTGGGCCCTAGGAATATAGAATATAAAGGAGGCAACTCTGGAGGGGCTCAGATCTGTTGAGGGTGGGGTGGTGGGAAAATGGAAACAGAGACAGTGATAACACCTTGAGATCACTTTGGAAGAAAAGGAAATATGGGCCCGAAAGAGCTCAGAGGGTCCCCAGTTCCCACAGTTGCCACAAGGACCACCTGGTTATCTATGGACAAAAATGTAAGCTGCCAGCTAGGGGGCCAGTTCTAGGTATAACTAAGGTATGATTATCAGTCCATTCTAGAGCCATGCCTTTTCCTTTTGCATGATTTCTGAAAGATAACATCTCAGAAGTAGAATACAAGGTAAGATTATCTTTGCAGCTCCTGACTTAACTACCAGAAAAAAAAAAATCCCAATTTGCACTGACAGCTCTGTCTCTGTCTCCTTCTCCCCATCCTATCCCTTCCAATCCCTCCAGGCAAATCTACACTATCATATTACAGATAAAGACCCAAGGCCTAGAGGGGCAGGTCCAGCCCAGGTGGACTCTGAGTTATCTGTAACCTGTAGATTCCCATGTGGTTGAAACACAGGAAGGACACTCCCATGCCTGCCCATCAGAGGAAGAGGGCTGGGGCATGGGGTGGGCATAGGGCAGGAGTCCATCCCCACACTGGGCCCTATCACAATTGACACTGCAGTTTAAACCTGATCTGTCCCACTCACTCCCCAGGATTGTCTGGCCTTTCAGCCCCCGATTTCTCAAACTGGGCTCTTCAGTTTCGTGAGGGTTTCCAGCCTTATTTATGGATGTCTGCAGATATGCTGTCTGAATTTTTACATTTTGCACGTTCACTTTAATGATAATCTAAATGCATTAATATGAGAATATTCTGGCTTGGCTGGAATGCACAGCATCTTATGAAAGAGGCTGCTATAAATGTCAGTGTCCATATCCGGATTTATCAGCAGACTAGTTCCAAAGAATCTAAGGGAACCACATTTAATGTCAGTGCAGCGTCTTGAACAGACTTAATCAAGTTTGAGACTCACTGCTCTAGCTAAAATGCTTATTTCCTTCATGTAAGGTCCTGGGTAGAGAAAAAAGGATCTCAGTTGGAATCAGAGGCCTGGGTTCTGATTTTGTCTCTATCCAACTCACTGAAAAACCGTGGACAGTTCCCGACCTGTGTCTCATTCTAGATCTCAGTTTATTCATTTGTAAAATGGGATGTTTGGGTTAGACAATCTCTATGGTCCCTTCTGGCTCTCACATGCCAGGATTCCAAATTGTGATTGAACTGCTCTCTCATAGTCATCCCTTCCCACCCCACACCCCCATGCCATCCCCACTGAGGCCCAGTGCTGCTGGGGGCTCCTGGGTAGAGAAATAGAGCCTCCAGGAGGGCGGGTATCAGGCAGATGTTAAGGGGGTGGCCTGAGTGGGATTGAAGGTCATGAGGAAGAAAGCCACCAGGCCAAAGAGAATACTTAGACCCAGCCAGGCTGTCAGCTGAGACCTACCTCCGCAGGTCAGGAGGGCTCCTCCCAGGATAATAAGGGGTCAGGGAACCCAGCCCCCACCTGTGTGGGATTCTCCTCTACGATTCACTGCCTCTCATCCCATCCTCCTACCCAAAGCACTGCCAGGAACCTAGAGCAACCTTCTCCTGTAACCCCCTCCCCCATCCCAGCTCACACTGGGCCCCCAGACAGTGCCAGAACCAACCCTCTGACTAGACCTTTCTCAGCTCCCATCCTTTGGGCCTGCCCAACTCCTATAGATTGCCTATAATTCAGATTAAGAGTTCCCTCTGTCAGGAAGCGCTCCCAGATCCCCCACCCTAGGCAGGCTCAGGACTTTTATCCAACCTCTCGTCTATACTAACCTCTGTCCCTGAACTGAGCCATCTTAATTGTTTTCTGTTGATCCCTCCCTCCTGGTTCCTGACTGCCTTTGTTAATTCAGACATTGTGGAGATGACACCTTTCTCACTTTGCTGGGAAAAGATCTGAAGCTCTGTCTCTTAGCCAAGGAATTCCAGACCTGGAAAAGCACGTGGAGTAGTAGGAAGTTTTCTCCTAACCTCAGGGCTCAGACATGCCTGCCCTCCAAGTCAACTCAGCAGCACCGGGGGCAGTCTTTTCCTGCATAGGACAGTTTGTTGACCAGATAAAGTAATCTGGGCACCCTACATCCAGGCCTATCAGTTTGTCCGATCTTGTCATTCTCTACCCTAAGGAGTCTCCTGGGGACACAGGCCAGAGGAATGATGTCACATGGGAGGAGAGGGCAGGATGGGAGGGAGGAATGGGACTAGGGAAATGCTTGGGGGATAGGTGGGATGTCCCTACCACATCTAGATGGAGGTGGCTATGTCCTTATCTGGGTGTGGGACCATCCTAGCTTTCAGTGACCTGGTCCCCACCCTAGCCCAGTTGAGGAGCCTTCTGAGCCCAGAGGTCATATGTCATCACCTCCCAGAGAAATCCCGCCCAACCCCAAAGTTGTCTATTCCCAACATACGAGCCCAAGGGAGAGAACACTGGGCAGTGAGTCACAAAAGTGTATGGCTTTGGGCAGATCACACTCCCATCTCAGGGCCTCAGTTTCTCCATCTGTAGAATAAGGTGGACCCTGTAAACCCTAAGGGCTCGTCTGGTCAGGACAGTCTGTAGGCAGCTGAAGAATGAAGTGGAAGAGACTGCTCCTGTGTTCCTGTGTGCCGGTGCTGGCCAGATGCCCCCGTGTCTCTTGTCCCATCTAACTGCTCAGCCACAGACAGAGAAAGCTCCATGGAAAGCTTTCCCTCTGCTTGAGGCAGAGAAAGGTGGCATGGATATTTTGTATATATGTATAATATAAAAAATATGTGCAATATAAAAATTACCATTTTTGCCGTTTTAGACGTAAAATGTAGTGTCATTAAGTACATACACAGTGTTGTGTTCCGCTATCCATTTCCAAAGCTTTTTTTTTTTTTTTTTTGAGACAGAATCTTGCTCGGTTGTCCAGGCTGGAGTGCAGTGGCACGATCTCAGCTCATTGTAACCTCTGCCTCCTGAGTTCCAGCGATTCTTCCACCTCAGCCTCCTGAGTAGCTGGGATTACAGGCACCCACCATCATTCCCTGCTAATTTTTTTGTATTTTTGTAGAGACGGGTTTCACCATGTTGGCCAGGCTGGTCTCGAACTCCTGACTTCAGTTGATCCACCCACCTTGGCCTCCCAAAGTTCTGGGATTACAGGTGTGAGCCACTTCACCCAGCCCATTTCCAAAGCTTTTCATCTTCCCAAACAGAAACTCTGCAACTATTAAACGTTAACTCCCCATTCCCCTTCCTCCTACCCCAGGTATCCTCTTATCCTGGACTTTCTCTGTCCATGAATTTGCCTATTCTAGGTACCTCAAATAAGTGGGATCATACAGTACTTGTTTTTTTGTGTGTGTGTGTCTGGCTTCTTTCACTTAGCATGTTTTCAAGGTTCATCCATGTTGTACATGCGTCAATACTGCATTCCTTTTTAAAGGTTGAGTAATGTTTCTCTTTATGGATATATAACATTTTGTGTAGCCATTCATCTGTTGATGGAAAATTGGTTTACTTGCACTTTTCGGCTATTGTGAATAATCCTGTTATGAACATTGGTATACAAGTATCCGTTTAAGTCTCTGCATTCAATTTTTGGGGGTATAGAAGGGAAGTTGCTAGATGAACATGGTAACTCTGTTTCACTTTTTTTTTTTTTTAAATAAAGACGGAGTTTCACCATGTTGGTCAGGCTGGTCTTGAACTCCTGACCTCAGGTGATCTACCCACCTTGGCCTCCAAAGTGCTTGGATTACAGGCGTGAGCCACCACGCCTGGCCTCTGTTTCACTTTTTAAGGAACCACCAACTGTTTTCTACAGTGGTTATAGCATTTTACATTTCTACCAGCAGCGCAGGGTTCCAATTTTCCTATATCCTTGCCAACACTTGTAATTTTCCTTTCAACAAAAAATTATATCCGTCAGAATGGGTGTGAAGTGCTATCTCATTGTGGTTGGCCTGGAGATTTTTTTTTTTTTTTTAAAGCATATTTGGCCAGGAGCAGTGGCTCATGCCTGTAATCCTAACACTTTGGGAGACCAAGGCAGAGGATTGCTTGAGTCCAGGAGTTCAAGAGACCAGCCTGAGCAACATAGTGAGACTCCTGTCTATACAAAAAAATAAGAAGAAGAAGAAGAAAAAATTAGCCAGTCACAGTGGTGCACACTCGTAGTCCTAGCTACTTGGGAAGCTGAGATGGGAGAATCACTTGAGTCCAGAAGTTCAAAGCTGTAGTAAACTGTGATTATACTACTACACTCCAGCCTGGATGACAGAGCAAGACCCTGTCTCTAAACAAAAAACAAAGCAAAACAAAGCAAAACCCATATTTTAGCTGCAGGGTTCTTTTATCAGAGGAAAAATTACTCAAAGTCTACATGAAGCCTTTGGTGAGGAGCTGGTAGTGGTTAACTGGAGACAAGAATGACAGGTAAGGTCGGCCGGGCGCGGTGGCTCACACCTGTAATCCCAGCACTTTGGGAGGCCAAGGCAGGTGGATCACGAGGTCAAGAGATCGAGACCATCCTGGTCAACACGGTGAAACCCCGTCTCTACTAAAACTACAAAAAATCGGCTGGGCATGGTGGCGCGTGCCTGTAATCCCAGCTACTCAGGAGGCTGAGGCAGGAGAATTGCCTGAACCCAGGAGGTGGAGGTTGCGGTGAGCCGAGATCGCGCCATTGCACTCCAGCCTGGGTAACAAGAGCGAAACTCCGTCTCAAAAAAAAAAAAAAAAGAATGACAGGTAAGGTCTCATGAGGCTGATAACCGTGCAAGCATGTGTGTGTGTTGGTGGGGTGCTCATGTGTGTGTGAGGGCACTTTCTCTTGGTCTCCCTCTCCATGTCTTAACCCACACAGAGGACTTTTCTGAGGAACCCAGTGGCATAGTATAGAAGTACCTGACTAATAGTCACTGAATTCACTTCCTTTCTGGGGTACTTACTGGGAAGAGGCCATGTGTAACAGGGGCAGGAAGCTTCTCTCCTTCATCCTTAGGGGAGGACTTAGCAAGTCACCTTAGAGGAGGCCCTTTCTGTTCTGACTACCATTTGAGTTTATCAGATGTAAATAGCGCCTGGGAGAACAAAACAGGACCTTTTGTGGCCTGACAAAGGCCACCTCTCCCAACATCAAATGGGATGCAGAGCTGAGGAAAAAGGCAACACATTTGGGAGGAGCAGGCCATGGACAAAGGAGCCCCCAGGGCACAAATGGAAGAAGGTTTAGTTAGTTTCCTTGTGAGGTTCAAAGTTATTTGACTCCTAAGATGACTATCCTCAGTGAGCCCCACTTAGCAGAAGGAAAGAACCCCTGAGTCCCCAGTGGTGTAGGAAGGGATCTGGTGGCCAGGCTTAACTCTGGGGCTGAGGATGTAGAAGCCCCTCTGGACTTTCCTTCTGGTGAAACTTGCCTGAGCTGAGGAGTGTGAATGAGAGCTTGGACTTTGGGGTCCTGTGTTCTTGGCTGCTGGGGCTCTGAACACTAAGATGGAGCAAGACTGGGGCTCAACAGTGCCTCTGGAGGAAAGGAGCTAGTCTAGTCCCTGTGGGTTTTGAGCATTTTTGTGAGATGGGGGAAGGCCTCTAGAGGGCCAGATTGAACTTCCTGCTGATAAAATCTTGTGGGATCTCAATCAATTAATGGGGAAAAAATGTGACCATACTTTTTACCTTAAGCTGGTGGAGTGACCATACAAGTCACATGCAGTTCTTAAGTTCTTTGCTTCTCTAGTTCCAGAGATAGGGCAGGATGAGGGGGACCAGGGAAGTATATTATTCCTTTCTGTACCCAAGCCAGCTCCAGGCAACCCTAGGGAAGGGGAGGGAAAGTCTCTGGGCCTCTTTCCTTACTTTTTCCTTACTTAGGTTTCCTTCTCAGGATTCCACCATGGCCCCTTGCTTATGTTTATGGCCCATGATAGTACTTGAGTACTCAGGCTATTTCCTGTTCATTCTCTCTACAAAGCTTATCCAGCCTGGGTCCAGATTCCTCTGTTCCCCATTAGGAGCACTGAGCTCGGCTAATAGACCAAATTGACTAAAGGAGCTTATGGCAACAGTTGGTTAATCCAGCCACTAAGGGCTTCACATGCATTCCTTCACTGACTCCATTCACATTTCACCAAGGATCTCAGTTACAAAGGCACATCAATCTGAGCAAAAGGTTGCTGGAATGTACTACTTCAACAGCCTTTCAGCTCTGTTGTGCAAAGAAGGTGTAATTCTACTGATGGAATTTTATGCACTTTTAAAGAATGTTTAGGAAAATAGTTTCTTGCGAATAGGCAGCCTTTGCTCACCCACAGAGAAGACAGCATTTTCTGCCTACACATGAGGGATTCTACGTGAGGTCCAGGGCTCTGGGCCAGATAGGCCCAGCCCCAGCTGTGACCTTCAGTTCCACTCCCTAGGCCAAGATGCTAAATTCAGATCACCCATTAGTTCAGAAGCAGGTTAGACCAGTCACCATGAGCATGTGCCTGGGCAACTAATCTTGGTTATGCAAAATGAATCTCTAATCTGCAATGTCTTGCAACCCAGCACACAAATTAAAACATTTCTCCTTGACTACACTTGGAAGGAAAAGAAAGACAAGCAGGATAAAGGGCAAGATATGAGAAGGGCCAAGGAACTGAATCCTATCAGCCACCAAATCTTCATTTAAGCAGCCTGCTCATTTATGACCTACATTTATGAATACTTTCTTGCAACCAATCAATCAACCTTCCTTCAAGTAATCAATGAATGAACCAGTCTTCATTCAGTTAAGTATTCTGTATTTATTGGAACTACTAATTTCTTTCATTTATTCATTCACTCTCTTTAACAAATCAACCCTCATTCAAGCAACAAAAGAATTAGTAGTCATTCATTTATTCAACTAAGTGTTCCAAATATCAAAGCTCAGGGCTGCAAGAGACTTCAAAGGCCTCAAAGTTCAACCCACTGCAAACTTACAGGAATTCTACCCATTACAACCTTGCCAAAATAGACAGCACATTACCTTCAAAGGTTGCCTGGTCTGTTTTAGAGCAGCTCTGACTGTGAGAAAAATATTTTGAAAGCTGAAATGGAGTCTGTTCCCCTTGTATCATCCATACCCAGTTCTGGTACTTCCTTCCATGACACCCAGAACAACTCAGCTTCTGTGCTTGGAGACCTTGTCTGCAGTTAAAGATGGAGATTATGTCCCCTGTGGCCCCCTGTCTCCCTCCCCTGTCCCTGTGGGTGATGTTCCCTCGTTGTTCCAGTCTCTTTTCCTCTGGTCAGGAAGGTAGTACTCAGTCCAGGTCTTTCTCCTGGTTTGGGATTTAGAATGGGAGTCCATATTCCAAGTGTGATGTTCTGAATGGACCAGTTCTGAATGGACCAAACTCCAGAGAGTTTGTCATGACTGACATTTTGCCCAAAGGGTCTCTCTCTCACCCTGTTCCACATGCCTCCACCTCCCTTATCTACAGCTGAATGCCTCAGGGCAGCTAAGCTGTGGACTTGCTGGAAACTTCAGAGCTGCTCCAACCCAAAAAACTCAGGGCCCAAACTGGAAGACAGAGATTAAGTGGACCAGCCATTCATTCCTCTAAGGAATTTGAACCTAAACTGAACTGGTGCAAGGGATGAGAGGGATCTACTGCATCTGTAGGGTTGTGGAAGCAAGTGGCAGCACAAAATGACCAATTTAGGCAGAAAAATAATGTATTAAGAGGACTCTGGGTAATTTGCATAAACTGATTCCCAGTTAAGAGGTGATTTATATACATTTGGTTCTAAATAATTATAACACATGACAGGAAAAAAATATGTTTCAGAAAATGTAGGTAATTCTGTAAAGTGATGGATATGTTAATATTAAGCTTGATTGAGGTAAGCATTTCAAGTGTACAATGTGATGTAAAAACAATCACATTGTACACCTTGATTATATATACACTTTATTTCTCAATTGTACCTCAATAAAGCTGGAAAAAAATATGACTTCAAGTTAATATTTTTCCTTCTGAGTACATAATTGAAAAAAATTTTATATTATAGTTCGACATCCAAGTCATGTACATTGATTTAAAAATCAACTCAGTGTGCTCATATATAACAAAAACTCAGATCTGAAATTATATAATGATATGACCATAATGAAAAGAAAATCTACAACTTCCTCCATGCTTTCTAAGGAAAACATACCTAGGTAGGTTGCAGGTTTTTGGTTTGCTGAGAAGAAAGTCTTGTTCAGGGTCAGGGTGATGGCCTTTCGTATGCTAGATCACAGTTTTATATATCATCGGTAAGGAAGAGAAGCCCAGAGCTAATTGTGCTATAAAAAAGGTAAGGTGGGGAGAGGGCACGAAAGGTGGAGGTGGGGGTCACTATGAGAGGAGCCTGGGGTTGCTTGAGAGGACAGAGAGTTGCTGTGGGCTGTTTGATGTAAAACACTACTCCATCTCTAGACAGGAATCTACAATACAATAACCATTCCTCACTAAGGCCTTGAGGTAAAGATTTACTTTGGGGCAATTTAAGAGAAGTGCTGAGTCTTGCTCTTTGGTGGGGGTATAAGTGGAGGCAGTTGTGGAAGGGCAGACACACCTAGACTGCATTTTAGGATCCTGCCCAAGTTTGTTTTTCATTGTTGTTGTTGTTATTGCTGTTTTGAGACAGAGTCTCGTTCTGTCATCTGGGCTGACGTGCAGTGGTGCAATCTTGGCTCACTGCAACCCCTGCCTTCCAGGTTCAAGCCATTCTGATGCTTCAGCCTCCCAAGTAGCTGGGATTACAGGCATGCCCAGCAATTTTTGTATTTTTAGTAGAGACGGGGTTTCACCATGTTGGCCAGGCTTGTCTCAAACTCCTGACCTCAAGTGATCCACCCGCCTCAGCCTCCCAAAGTGCTGAGATTATAGGCATGAGCCACTGCGCCCAGCTCCTGCTCAAGTTTTTTGATGGGCCACTCAATTCTCAGCTGAAACTGGGTATTAATCATTACCCTATATAAAGAACCAAATGTGAACTTCCCTCTCCATCACTGCCAAAGTACCAGGGCAGACTGATCCAGCTGAAACAGAGACAGTGTTGGAATGTTTCCCGAAAGCCAGAGGGAAGTTATAGCTATGAGGTCAGCATGCTGACCTAAGAATGAATTTTTCAAAAGCGGTTTTAATCAGGATTCTTTGGTCTGCAAATCATGGAAATTCATCTCTAGTATGTTAAAGAAATCAAATAAAGCCCAAACACAAAAGGGGAGTTTGGAATTATTGGCTGACATAAATATTCATATTTATGTAAGAGTATGGCTAGCTTCAGGAATGGCTAGATCCAGGCACACAAGTCAAGTCACCAGGAATCTGTCCCCATCTCACCACTCTTTCTTCCTCTGTGTTGGCTTCCCTCTCAAGTTACTCTCCCCATATAATAGAAAAATGACTTCCTAGAGTTCCATCTTGACATCATCAGCCCTGCTAGAAAAAGTTGACCTTCCCAATAGTTTTAGAAAAAGTACCAGTCTCATGTAGCTAACTGGATTATTTCCCCAACTCTGGAGTTGGGAATGTGGGATCCGCCACATAGGAACTCTTTGAACTGAGAGTAGAGATTGGAAAGTCTCTCAAAGGAAATCAAGGTGCTGATCGCAGAAATGAGAGTGGCAAAACAGCAGTCAGTGGAAATCGAGCTCACATACCCTGTGCAGTGAGCTCAGGAGACTGATGTCAAAAAACCCTTTATGTGACCCAGTCTGGAAGGTGATATTTAATCCAGGCTTGAAGGACAAATGATTTATTAAGAAGCCAGTGTCTCCAGGAAGGGGTGAGGTGGACTGAGGCAGATACCCTGGGCTGATTTGGGTCCCACTCCCTCTCCTTTTGGCCTTTGCTGCGGAGACAGGATTTCCTGCAGCTGGACCTGCTGTCACAGGGCTAGCTACCAGACAAGCACTGAAACCCTTGGTCAAGGCCACATGCTACCAGAACAGAGAGATGTTTGCAGGAATGCAGCCACAGGGATAAAAAGAGAATGCTGAATTGTGGTCAGAGCGTCCTGCTATAATATGACAGGATGGTGATAGGAGAGAAGTGGGAAAAATTAG